CGTGGGAGCTCTGGTAAAACAATCTTGGCGTGAGTCATCGTTGATTGGGTTGGCTGTCGTGCAACTTTTATGACTTAAGAAACAAATGGTCTCCATAAAACTGTCTTATCATTGCAACTAGCTTCAGTAGTATTACTACAAGCACTCAGATGATATAAATGATTGAAAACCAAATAAAAATACTCTGAAACAACTGCATGTAATAAATTATACATGTTCGAGGAAGTAGCTCGGAATTTATCGGTTGTGTGAATAAGTAAGTGAGAGGTACATTTTACCCATCGTTTGTCTGAATTATACTCATCGTTTATCTTGTACAATAAGGCATCAAGTTGCGATAATTTCTACATATAAAATCATTACCCTAAACGGTCTTATGTTTACGTAGGTTGGATTTACAACACTAATCGCTGTTTAGAAACTTCGATTGGTTAGCTTAATGTGTGCTGTTGGCTAATGGTTTCAGTTTAGTATCATTCTTATGACTTAATCTGGATTATGTCTAATGAATTATGACCTAATGTAATTTATTAGACGATTCAAATTTAGACCAAAATAATCTTGTTTCGCTCATTTTACAAAAACTTTGACCCAGTTCACGGAGCATTGAATGAACTCAAAAATTCAACTAGAATATTCATTTACTCGCTGAAATTATTCACAAACAGACGTAGCGGCGGCATTTAAAAGCGCAAAACGCGAAAAATAACCTCATTCCTGCTTCAAACAGAATAAAAACCAACTTTGCCGGCTCTCAACTGTCTACCAACTGCCATAACTTTGTCCTGATGTTTTCCCTCGCCTCACAATGCATTCATTAGCATATGCCATTTGCAACCAGTCCTCAGTCCCTCTAGGCCTTACAAAGGTTCTATGCTATAAAAGACCTTGAACCTAAAGGACCTTGTCAGAACCTCTGGTCAAGTTTGTGGGGTGGGGTTTTTAACTCTTCATAATTTGTGTGGGCAATGTAGGCTTAAATTATTTACTTTACCGATACAGAGTGGAAAAGTAAATTTCGTCTGACGTCGGATGTTACAAATATTGATTCTCGACTTAAGAGCCAGTTCCACAGAATTTATTAATGAATCGATTTAGAATTTTATTCATAGTTTATTTTCTATGATTGCGTTTCTGATAACACCTCCTTCCATTATTAAATTAATTACTCTTGAAAAAATACCCGGCTGAATCTGATGCGAAAATCAAAACAGCAGCAATTGTTCAACTTTACACATAATAAGAATAGAATCCTATAGTTCCATGCAAGCAGATACGAGCACAATGGCGGAAGCTTGCGGTCCATGCAAACAAACATAAAACCACAGCAACATCAGCTAAAATGGCTCTTAACAACCAAGACATAGAAGCCAAACATACAGCAAATGAAAAATTTGCATTTTCTGACAAAGAGTTAAATTACGTACAGTTATTTCAAGCTGGGGAACCTGAGATGGTCGGACTTGTACTAAGGTGCTATGTATTGACTACAGTTTTATTAATATAAGAAATTGAGGTGAGACAACTTATTTCATTTTCTTGGAAACTTCTACTAATTAACTTTAGAAAGCTAACAAAGTTGTGACCTCGAGAAATACTTAGAAGTTGACGTTCTGGAACATCTCGTGTAACTTCATATTTCAAAGTTTAAAGTGTAGAATTGAGTATAACATTTAAATGATAATACAGTACTGAGTGATGAGAATAATAAGACAGAATACATTTGATAAAATATATCGCTTCTTTACCGCTTTAGAAATCTCACGTTAACCTGGTGTTAAACGTGAAAGTAAACTTCAAATTACCGTTGATGATATCGTCGCTAGCCTAATCATTATCACAAACGACGTTAATAGGTCTCAAGGTTTCCCCAAAACTTCCATAATATAGCGGTTGCGTGGCCAAACCAACACGAACCTTAAAATAGATTAAGATTAATATTGAAACTATTTTTAGCTACCTTAGGTCTATTTTTGTTTGCCACGGTAAATAGAACATCATGCTATAGCATCATAATATAACTTGAATGAAATGTTTGCTTTTACAAATACTTTTGCACACAGCGCAGTGAATTCTGCGCATGTTTCAGTAGCTTCTATAGTTTGTTTAATAATTTTGACTGCGTGATTAACAAGAATTTGTGCCACGATTATTATTGATCTTAATTCAAAGTGCGTGTGGCCCCAATATACTTCCTTGGGGCATCCCAGGGGATTACAATATGTAGCAACTAGCATTGAATGATTTAATGTTACCAATGTCGTAAAAGATGTTTAATAATATTATACATTTGTGTTGTGGCTAGTACATCTTCAGGAATGTCGGTAAATAACGTTACTCATACATTTTTCTAGAAAATCGACAGCAGACAGTTTACCACCACTAGATTTCAGTTGCTTACTGCGTTTACGTTGATTCGTTGCATTTAGTAATTCAATCATAACATGTGATGTTTTAGAATAGTTTTATTTGTTTATACGTGTACTGAGTACTGAGTCAGAAGCTCACAAAATAGACATAAACACTACAATTATATTCGCATCTAGACAATATACAGTGTATAAAAAGGTATGATTCACAAACTGTACTGTTGCGTTGCATAAACGTGAAACTTGGCTAGTTTGTTCGTAAAACAACACAGTTTTATTGTTAACAATGCGTTGGAAATCTTGTGTTGTTTTGTTGCGTTTCGTAATCATCATTATAGAACGTTATAATTGCGATATTAAAGTGCGATTAAGAACAATATCAGCTATGTTTCTGGCTATTAGCGACAACGTGGAAGCGAGAAAAACATTTTCTAACTGCTTGCATTCAAATGCAGAGTAATATCCTAGTTTCATTCTTATTGAATCTGTTACCAAGTGTTTTATTGTATTCCGATGTATCTATGAGCTAGAATAGAATATAACATTAGTAACTTATCGTATATCATTATCATAATCATGCATTGTATCTATTTTCCTCGTTTATTTCTCACCGTTTAGTTTTCCTGTTGGAATGTTAATTTTATCAGTCTCTCTCAAATCTTTACTTGCAATATTTGACATAGTTTGTACTGTGTCTGTATTATTTAACACTGCGAAAACATTGAGTCATAGGTCTTCGGTGCCATATGTTGCATTGTCGTGATTCGAACCAAGGCCTCGGGCCACGGCTATATTGAAATGTATTCTTAATATTACGATATTTTGTAAACTTGAAGTTTACTTTCTATTAGGGATTTGATACGTACTTGAACTATTAATTAGAGGTATGAAAACAATTTCGTCTATTACACATTATTGGTTCTTAAATAGTATTACTCAGAACTTAAAGTTTAATCGTAATCTTAAGCTGTTTATAAAAAACCCCAACATTTTATTATCCTTCTACTTTAAACTCCCATAACTTGCGATCGTAACAAAATCCAATTACAACTCGAAAGAATTTATCGTTGAAGTTGAATGTCCTTTTATTGGTATCGATATTATTCGTATTGTGTCGTCTTTGCTTCATGTTACATGTTGATTCAAGTGTCCAGGTGATGGTTCTCTTTTACAGATGTCGCTGCTGCCGCTTTGTGTGCTACAGGGTTATGGTGAACGGTGCACCGTGTTCCTATAACTAACAATGTTTCATCTCTCTCTTTCCAGATGGACTTTGTTCCCGTCTCGCTCAGCCTGCCGTGCAACGGAATGTTTCTATCATAGAAGTGTTTTGCATTCCTCTTGGTTCTCGGAAACTGTTTCTACATTTTAAATGGAATTGAGATCAGTAGCATTATTTGTGTTCAGATCATTTTTGCTAGCCATGAGCTATAGAACTTGTACTGTATTTGTATCATGTTTATAGTCTTTCGTAGCTAGATTCCTTTAATAATTAAGGAGCTGTTAGAATATTTAATGTTCTTTGACCGACCTTGGATCGGTTATTTTGGGCGATAATCGATTACTCGTCACTAACTGCCATTACACGTTTCATCAAAGGTAACATATTGAAATATCTAAGTTAACTGTAGTTCTTTTCATAATCAACAATTCCAACAAAATGTGTCAGTAGGATATGTATCTGTAATCAGTGATAACTTTATCACTGATTGCAATAACACATAGTTTTATTCGGAAGATTTTTTTATTAGCCATTAACATTAGCCTCTGTATTTCACAGTTAGTTAATTTATTTATTGCAAGTAACTGATTAGGTTGGTGATAGCCTAATTTGTGGCTCATTTCTCTATCCTTTTAGAAATAGAGTCTCAATTCGTGTGTTTGGTAAGTTGCAGCTATTATTTGTTTTGGTAGCCATTCTTATCGAGTAACGAGTCGGTACGATCGTTCAGGGATTTCACCTTTCGTCTTCGTTCATCTGATTATCCTATTATTCGATCACGTAACATTGCCGTTTCGTATTCTCTTTGTTTTTTTTAAGTGTTCTTTTGGATTCGGTTTTTATCGGTTAGGCTTTTGTGTAGACTCTCTAGGTTTTATTGAGCAGCTTCTTTTTTTTAAATATTATCATTAGAAAAGATCTTAGAGTTGAGTACGTTTTTCCACATTCTTAATTTCATTTCTTCAATCTGTTCCTATCCAATTAAGTATTGGTTTTATTTCTTCTGGGTACGCACTAGACGGTTATTGGTCAGTTGATATGCGTCAGTAAGTTAATTTTATATGCGATTGTTGATTTGACGTCAGAAGCAGGTTATTGATCGTCTTCCACTAATCCGTAACCTTTGTCTGTCTCCATACCTCATTCTAATGGCTCGTTCAATACTGGTATTTAGGCCGAATCCATATGTCATGTCTCGATGTCATGACTAAATTCCGTATAGCCGCTATCTTATCTGATATGGTAAGGACGTCTATACTTAAGTGAATCACATTCAATTCTTTTTTCAGGTATTTTTACATGCTTACAAAATTAAAAGTAGTACTTAAAGTGATATAACTGTGATAGAAGTTTAAATTAGTATGCTCTAAAACCTAGTGATAATATCAGTGAAATGTCTTCTTACTAAAATGGAGAGGAAACTGACACGTGAAGATTTCATGAGGAAAAGTTTTCGAGCACCGAAGGTGTCGCCCGCCCCAGAGGGACAGGAGCCTACTGTCAACGGAGCGCCACCACCATCGCCGGTATCTTTAGCCATGTTGGAGAGGAACTCGCAACCGCCACAACGAACCCAGTACGAGATTACATCTTCGGGGATAGCTCCTAAACGACTTGAAATCAATAGAGCTCATCCCATCCACCTCAAGTCATTCCAATCCTCCGAGCCTCCAGACGACACTGCACCAATGCCGCCTTCAGACGATGTTCTACGAAAACTCGAACGGCAAATTGGTGAAATGGAGAGAGGTTTAGAGAAAAGGGCACAGAATGGTTCTGTTGGTGTTGACGAAAGAGTCAGGTACGCTGAACATGAGAACCTCTTACGAACTGGCGTATCTTCCGTCGGAGGTGGAGGCTATCTTCCAGCTGATTCTGATACAGAACACGACGTGGTGCCTTTCAATAGAAACGAAAGCACTCGCAGCAGTACTGGTGGTGCTACTCCAGTACCGAGACCAGCCACTCGACTGGCCAGAACAAACTCTGATACTCAACAGTCAGTCGCAGCTACTGCGAGGATCATGAAGAAACTGGCTGATGGCAATAAAGATGAAAAATCTAAGGTTATATCTCGAAAAGCGATACAAGCGAGGATGGAGCGTGTCAAGAACTCTGTCACTGGAAAACACGAGCACAGGGTTCTGGCTGAGCATAGGGTGGATCCACCTTCTCCAAGGACACCGACGTCCCCTATCTCACCAAGGTCACAGGTAACGATGATTCTTTAAGATATTGTGAATGTCCATACTACGAAGAGTAACTATATCACTGCAGCATTAACAATGATTACAATAATGTTCGTTTCACTTTTGACGAAATTAATTTTAGTTTAGAAAGCAGCATATAAAATAAATGTTTTCTAGTGTTTTACAGGCAATTCGTGTTTAATATCTAGATAAAAGTAGCCAATAAAAACGCAGATTCTCTCCAAAACCGATCGATATTGATCGTAACTTAGAATTTATAATATTTTTATAACGGACATAATTCAAATCACCAGTATTGACGTGTTTTTTATTTGACGTTAAATATGTTCAGCTACCCACACGCGACGTCTCGAATTGTATTAAGTGTTGTGTAATATTTGCTTACCTTGTTACCTAAATTCATTCACACTCGCTTGCGTAATAAGTACAAAAGAGAGGTAGACAGTAATCCTACTTTATTTTCTATTTGTATTAATATTTTTACCATAAAGAAGTCATCAGAATGTTTAGTGTAATATTGAAAAGGTTTATCTTTATTGATGCGTATTGAATTTTTTTCATTTTTATTTATGTATGGTAAGTGTAGTAGAAAAAACGTGTTATACATAGTACGTTATGTGTGATACATTTCCTTTAGATCTATCCTAAAATAAGTCAGTCACGTTATAGTAAATGTACAACCTTATTTCTGCTACCTGCTGCGAAAAAGTCAATTTGTAACACTTGGCGCTTGGCTCTGACGCAGGCTCAATGACGTCACACTCATATCACGACCGGCTGCCAGCTCCAAATATGTACACGAAAATGTTAAATGGAAGATATGATTAATTTTTATTGTGTGTTACTTACGTAGGTCAACCTAAACCTATCTTCGTAAAAGAGTTTCTACATTATTGTTTTAGTAATTAGGTCGAATATCTGTTGAAAACTTTGTGCAATTGAAATCGGTTTACCTGCTGGCAGATGTATGTAAATGTCGTAAAAGATAATATTGTTACAACCATTCAAAACAAGACATTTTTCAACAACTGGTAAAACCAATTTAGAGTAATATTTTTGTTTCGTACATGTTTAAATCTTCAACAATTTGTACTAATTGGTTTATTTTTATTCTCTTCGCAGGTAAGCACAAAAACACGATTCCAGTAAAATGGCCAAGTCTACGTACGTAACAGATTGCATTGTAAGGTAAAGTATGCACTTTTGTTTCTCTAGATTAATTGCCTGCGTTAAATGCTGGGATTTAAATCCTTTTACGAAGAAGAAAATTTTATTTAGAGTTGAAATGGGAGGTTGAGATTGGAGGAAAAGTTCAGAACTTATTATAGAATAAAATAAAATAAATTGTCGTACGTTGTTACTTTTTATTAAAACCACTTTCTTATCGGTATCCACTTTAACGAATAACTTCATAAGAGCTCAATTATTAAGGTATATCATCTTTCAGATGTAAACTTCTTAACACCAATAAAGTCTACAAGATACAGCTTACAGTCATAAAACTCTAATATTTAACAACATTACACCTCCTTGATACTAAATATTATCATACAATAATAAAATTAATGTCCTCAGCATCGATTTTGAACCCAGAGACGCCCGTTTAAGGACATCGCACGTTATAATGTTTTATGAGAAACCATTCAGTTTTACGAGCTAACACACAAATCTGTCCAAAGTTCTAATAAAAAACGAAATCTTTGCTATTTCAAGGTCGGTTAAAAGTATTTGTAAGCTAAAAGCGATTGAATGATGAGTGAGGAATGCAAAACGCAAGCGGCATAACTCGGTATGCGGAGTCGAAACACTGCTTGTACTAACGAACTGTAGTTTACGTAATTATCATTTTTATTGCTTTGAGGAAGTGTCTAGCTAGCGCATGTATTAGTAATTATTTACATTGAGGCGTTTGTAACGAGGACTATTCTTATTTTACAAGGCAAAGTTATTTTTGTGGTAATGTTATATGTTAGCATAACTATGTTTGCTTGTTCTATGGTAGAAATTATCAAAGTTCGATGTAACAAGATAATACAATTGGGGCTCAAAACCAGAATATTGATGATCTTTTCCTTTGTATGACTGAATCACATTAAGGAAAAGTAAAATCATTCAATGCACGTGTAGAAAATTGATTTGAAAATATATCTTACGTATACGTGCAGTGCAGGTATCTTTCAAAGAGTTTTATTTACTAAATCTTAAGCTTCTTTGTCAAAGTAAGGAAATAGCGTCTGCTGGCTTCCTATACGGATGGGTGGTTGTTGGAGCATGCAAAAATTGCGCTCGCTCCCGTCGCGTGCTCCGTTTGATAAATCGTTTTGCATAATATACTAACATTATTTATCTCACTGCCTTCGCTTCAAGGCAAATCAAACTAAATTCTTTTGAGGACTTTTTCAACATTTTTGTATTCAAAATCTAAAGATTTAGATCTATATCTTTCGTGGTTAAACTTGGCAATGTTTTTGTAACTTTGTTTTTATGCATCCTTTTTATCTAGAGTCTATTAAAGTTTTGCTCTATAATTTTCCGTTCTCATAGCAACTTGCAGCCACTCAATGAAGTAATGAAGGCTGAAGAAAGACAGTGTATTTGTTATGATAATAGTGAAAAACATCGAACTAGGTCGCTCGATACACCACCGATCAATCCTAGAACCTTGACATCTTGCCAGTTAGTATGCATTGATTATACTAGTTCTGTTACTAATTGCTTTTAGTACTTATTTAGTTATTTTATGCTTTTAACTTAATTTGTGATTACTAAGCATATTCAGTATGATAAAGAGGGATCTTTGCTATAATTTCTGCTCAAAACGTGTTTATCGATTGAGCAGTTTAAGAGTAAAAAAGTTAAAACTAATAAATTGAATATCAATAAAACCAAATCGTTCGAGGTAATGCCAAAATCAATGAACAAGTTTTCGCTTACAGCTGTTAAAATATCCGAAAGAAACGATGTTTCTAAAACATAAATAAAATACCTTATCATGTTTACCAAAAGTTGATATAAAAAATAAGCGGTAATAACGAGAATTTCCCCAGAATATCCGGGTCGATTTCCACGAAACAGTTTATTAATTTTCAAAGCTCAATGAACTAAAGTTCCGTACCGAACTTTGGTGGGCATTACGGCAATAAAGGAAAGAATTTTAAAGCTATATCGACTTTTTTGGAGACCAATAAATTTTCTATGGACCTGATAATGACTGGGGAACTTTTGAAAGCAATTGATTGTTTTTATTAAGACTTTGAAAGTGATAAATGGAAGGATTTTATATTGACTTTAAAGGGGAGACTCGATATGCCTTTTTTTGATTAGAAAATTGGGTTTTTATCTACCGATTAAATATAATATTCAATTCGGATTATCTTCTATTTAGTGTGAACACATAATGAAACAAAAGTGACTCGTACTTATGACTAAATTATATGGTAGCTTGATTAAAAAATGCTTGACTAGTTTAAACTGTCAAACACCAAGCGGTCACCGGTGACCGCGACCTATTGTTCTTCAATTGTGTCTATAAAACCGGTACTCGACGAGTTAATATACCAGTCAATATACCTCCTTTTAGCATGCTTGACAGCCCAATTCTGCTCAAGAGAAGATTTTTGACTGCCTCGTTGGCGGAGTGGTCGCAAGTGCGACTGCCGGGCAAGGGGTCTCGGGATCGATTCCCGGGTCGAGCAAAGTACTACTGCGTTTTAAAAAAAATTCTCAGTGGTAGCACGAAGTCTGGAATTGTGCCCGGAATATGGCAATAGGCTCACCCCCTATTACATGGGACTCATAACATAAATAGTGCAAAGTGGGTGTTAATGTTATGATTAGAAGATTTTTGATCATGATACCATCAACCATTTATCTATTACTTAACTCGTTTCCAGAACTACCTACATCACCTAGACTAGACTGTCTAATTTATCAAACAACTACTTGAAAACACAAACATTGGATACTAGTCTTACATTTAACTTAGTAATTGTACCAAGGGTTAGGTAAACTAGGAAAACGTGTAAAAACCACCTTCAGGGCTGTCATACTTCACTATTATTAATGTTGCTTTTACTTAATTTTGTAATAAGTGTACACACGGCACATGAAGCTAAGTAACCAGTATAAACTGACCGTCGAATTTAAAGAATGATCGTATAAAGTGAGATCACGATAAAGTGGTTGTTCACACAGCTACACAAGCTATGCAATCCAGTATAAACTGACGGTCGAATGTACAGAAAGATTGTGTAAAGCGAGACCTTGATATACTGGTTTCGTACAGCTCGATGTGTTCACAATGTTCACCATGGTGAAGTTGTGTGTGTTATTTACGGTCCCATAATGGTCTTAGGAAATAGTTTCCACCTCTTCGTGGTTGCTTCGGGAAGGATATTGTGTGCGTAGTGTTCCTGTGTCATAAAGTTAAATAACTTATGCATATAGTTCTTATTACATACCTACATGGTGTTCAAATGCGTTCTTTAGTTAAATCGTTGATCTTGTTTGCGAAAAATTCAAGTGTGGGAGAGCCATGTTTCGGCATGAATGGGCCGGCGCGACCGGAGTGATACCACTGCCTCACAGAAACAACGCTTGCGTTGTGTGTAAGAAAGAAAATTATTTCCTAGCAAACCGTAAATCAAGGTGGAATTTCTATAAAATTTTCATTAATTACTCTTGCACATATTGATTCACTTTAATTTCATAATACACATTAACATATTATCAACACTTAATTATTCTCTAGCATAATAAAGCAATAATTTTAAATCTTTCATTAATTAAATCGTGACGTAACATACGACACCGCATTACCTTACCGCCACACCCACGTCCACGCGTGGGCGTGCCCATAATCATTACAACTGCATACAAGATAATGTTACGTCACAGTACATTATGACGTCACACCTACATTATGACGTCACACGTCATTGATTACGTCGCGGTGTGTTAAGTTGTAGTAGTCGTAAAATGTTGAGTGTTTGGTTCGTTGCACG